ATATATGTAAACCACGGCCCTCATGCATGTTACATAAGCCTTCTATTAGTGAGCTACATACCAGCCATTTAAAAAAAATTATTTTGAGAAAAGTTCTAGTTAAATTGCCCAGGCTGGGCTCAAACTTGAAATCTTCCAGCCTCACCTGGGATTACAAGAATGTACTAGTATGGTGACCATTCTCTTAATTATGGTTTTTTTTTTTTCCAGTTCTCAAATGCATAGAAAGAGCTTCACTATGGAGGCACTTGACACTTGTTTATATTGTTCTAGTTTGCATTATAATTTTATTTTATATTTAATGAGTCTACCTAGTTGAAAGACCTGTTAATTTGTTCGTATAGATTTAAAAATTTTACTCCTATCTTAAGAATTCCTTCTTTTCTCACAGGTTTGGAATTCAAACTATATTAAATAGTGAGTCATTCATGAAATGATGTTTGGTTCATATTGTTTTTAGTCTTATAGTATATTAAAAATTTGGTAGGTAAATTTTCCCTTTATTATGATTTTTTTTCAAAAGTTATCTCAGTTGAAGGGCTGGGGATTTAGCTCAGAGGCTCTGTGCCTGCCTTGTAAGTGCAAGGTCCTGAGTTCAATCACCCATCCCTGGTACCAAAAAAACCAAAAAGTTCTCTCAGTTGAATAAACTCTAGGATTTTTGCTTAAGTGCAGTATTTTTTCCACTGTTTTTGAAGTAGTTACTGATAATATATTGAAAAGCAATTTGGCTGTTTATTATATCTTGTCACCTTGTTGTATTTATGTATTTGTTTGTTTATTTATTTATTTTGAGACACGGTCTTGCTATGTAGCCCAGGCTGGCCTCGAACTCACAGCAATTCTCCTGCCTTGGCCTTCCAACTGGTGGGATTACAGGTGTGCACCACCATGCCCGGCTACCTTGTTGACTTTAATTTCAATTTATGCCTGGGCTTCCTATGTGGACTATGCCTCATCAGCATAAAGGAACTTTTTCTCTTCCTTTCTGACAATCTGTTCCATTTTAGCACCTCCCAAGTTTCATGTGTTACTGCTTTAACTATAACTTCCTAAACAAATCTGGATCAGTGTGGTCACAGTGGCCATTTTCATCTCATTCCTGGGAATGTGTCTAGTGTTTCTTTCTCTATGAAATAGGGTATAGACTTGGCTTTCTCATGTCAAATTCAGGGAGTAACTTTCTATTTTGGGAAGTACTATCATTTTGGTGATTGCTTCTAGGGCCTAAAGAGTAATTAAAAAGTTTGGAAGATAAGAAGCAATACATGTTATTAGTGTGCAATTATGAAATTTCTTTTTAAGAGGACATGACAATCATATCAGTTTTGCTAGTGTTGGATACGTAGGTACTGTAGAAGGAAGAACTTGCTGATACATGGATATTTCTAGAATATCTCAGAAAAGAAGATGTATGAATCAGCCTTTCTCTCAAAGGGAGATACAGGGTTTTAATTATCTGGAAGCTTAGAAAACGGAAGTGGGACAGGCAGATGTCAGGTTTGGAATAGTGCCCACTGGCTGCTATTTGAAAGGTCAACGGCATGGATTATATCACGGAAGTGACCTCGAGCTGTGGGATGTCACAGCCGAAGGAATCTGAGAGGCTGTGCATGGAGTTCCTATTTACCTAGTGTCCACTTATGGCTGACAAGGACAGCGTGATGGAGCAGACAATACTGAAGGAACTTGAATGTAAGAATGAAAGAGACATGCGCAGAACTGCAGCATTCACGTGGGAGGTCAAGTTGAGTCCTGAGCCCACTGCAGCGCCCTTGGCAATGACTATACCAAGGCAAGACTAATAATGAACCAAAGCCGAGCAACCTCCTCAGGGAACCATCAGTCCAGACAGACTGGAAGCAGAAAGGCTGTTGTACCAACTTTCATTCTTTAAAAGGAGGTTATTGCTTTTTAATTCACGAATAAACGTGTTATTTTGTCAAGTTGATTTAGAGACTATTTGAGAACCCATTTATTTTTTGCTTTCCTTGATATGCTATAGCACCAACCTAACATTACATTTTTGGATTACTGGAAGTATCCTACTGGGCCTTATGTTTGTTAGTCCATCGATTCTACCAGCTGTCATTTATTATCCTTTTATTTAAAATCATCTGTTTAGAGACCTATAACTACAGTTTGCTTCTTTGCTTCATCTCTCAAATTTTAGCATCTGAATATTCTGGCTTTCAAAAATAAATTGGTAAGTTTCCTCCCAATTATGTTTGTACTAGAGGGGTTTATATACATAGAAATTTTTGGTTGCCAGGACTGGACCATAAAGCTGTGGCTGCCAAGAGTGCTCTTCAAGTGTGATTCAGCTTTTTGCCCTGATATCATGGAGGGTTTAATTTAAAATCTGGAGATTTTTTGCTATGTTTTAATATCTGCATCGCCTTTCAGGTGAGTTCCAGTCACTCCAGACCCACTCATGCTGACAGAGTCCACACAGTATGCTTTTGTCTTGAGCCCCATTAGCTCTCCTTGCATCACTGATTCTGGGGCAGGGAGACAGACACTACACGTGGCACCTATGGACCTTTTACAGTTGACGTTATTTTTTTTGAAAAGGGGAAAATGATTCATAGCTTCAAAGTAGAGATTTCAATTAACTGATGCACTCAAAAGAATACAAAGCAGTAGGTTTGTAGAAACAAAAAGAATGCACTGTGGGCGGGGGATTTAGCTCAGTGGTTCCACCTCCTGCTTTGCAAGTGCAAGGTCCCGAGGTTGGTCCCCGGTACCAAAAAAATAAAAAGGAATACACTGAGAGAATGAATTTTTTAAAATACACAAAGACCGATTTTAAAGTCATCAATTCAAGAAGAAGAAACTTGAATTCCATTGTACATACCTTACTGCTTCAGGTTTCTTTTTTAATAAGTAGAATTTCTCATCATAATTGTATTCATCAAACACTCCCCATCGTAGATGGGCCCATTCGTGGACAAAGACCTTGCCTGTGAGAAAATATTTTAGAGATGTGAGCACAATAAGAATGGTAAGATAACTTTCTCACAAGAGCAGAAAATAGACCTTTCAAATGTTTATTATGTTTTGACAGTTTGCTTTTCTTCTGAGACAGGGTTTCACTATGTAGTCCCAGGCTGACCTTGAACTCAATATGTACCCCAGCATGGCCTCAAACTCACTTTGATCCTCCTGCCACAGTCTCCCAAGTGCTGGGATTACAGGCATGAGCCACCATACCCGACTAGGTTTTATTTTTAATGATTTTACATTAGAGGTTTGATTTCCTTAAGAGTGATCTAATATAGCAAGGGTACGTTTCTGTGAAGCATAAAATTCATTCTGGTTCATCAAATGTGAATCAGGCACCCGGTATGTGCCAGGCAGTTATTCACACCGAGAAGACACTGACCCTTCCCACACAGCTCATGGCTGGGTCGGAAACAGGCAGGATCCAATAATTAAATTGCCTCGAGGTGCCAGATCCAACTCTTTAGAGAGGGAGACCAGGTTCTGCTCCTTTCTGCAGCCCTGCTGTTTCCCACCCATTCCTGAAGCTACGCTTGAGATGAATTCCTGAGCTTCTGCATTCTAGGCCACATTGTGCTTGATGCATCATGTCTTCTTGTTCATCTCTGGCTCTTTTCACAGTTTTCTTCTTGGTGGAATACCCTTTCCCTGTCTCTGCCAGGCTAACTCCTAGTGTTGTTTCAAAATGCAGCTTCTGTCTGCCTACAGCCTTTCCTGAAATGCTCAGACTAGACCAGGCACTCTCCTTTAAGCTTTCCAGATGTCACATTAGGATATTTATGTAGCATGGTTGTTGCTGTTTCCTTTCTAGTCTCCCATACCAGACACCTGCCTTTTTTTTTTTTTTTTTTTT